TTTTCTCTCTCTCCCTCTCTATATATATATATACTTTTCATTGATTTAACAATGCGCAGACAAGTGTTGAACTGTACGAGCCAATCGTTTCATTTACAAGCAGATCGATACGATGGATAGACTTTGATTTTCGTGGTGTGCACCCAACGCGTACAAGAGCGTGAAACTCGACTCTTTTTCTCTCTCTGTGTCCCGCATGCACATATTTTTCAGATGATAAAAGCCGACTTGAGAGGGGAAAAAAAAAAAAAAAAAAAAAAAACATCAAGGAAGACAACACGTAATGATACGCGATATACGTAGACAGAGACGGATGGACGGGTGAAAAGTGTACGGTGACTTTACGGCGAATGAAACGACGCGCGCCTACCGGGTATTGCAATGAGTAACGTCCGAGGAATTAACGATTGCGCAAAAAATCTCTCGCGCGATTGCAGTACGTATATGTAGGTGTAAGTGTAAAGGACGGTCGCGCTTCGTTTTTTCTCGTCTCTATATGTATAGGTATTTGGACGTTTTCGTCATCGCGCTCGAAATGGTGCACGAAAAGGAGGGGGAGGAGTGGGTATAAAAATACATATATAAATAGAAGACAAATCGTCCGGCGAATCGGGGGGTGTATAGAGGGGGGGGGACGCACGAAAAAAGTGTGGGTATATATATGAGTGAAAGAGACCGGGAGGAGGGAGAGGAAAAGGCACCCTTTTTGTCGACGTCTGTTTTCTCAGGCCCTCGTAGTGTATCAAGAGGTCCATTCGCGCGTGACTGTCTTGGTTTGTAAGTGCTGTACTGCCGGCACTTACGTATACACCCCCCCCCCTCCGGATGATTAAGTCAGGTCAGGTGTAGGCGCGCGACTCGGCACTAAATTATATCGAAGCCGTGAGAGAGATTGGGGGAAAAGTGCCATCCATGTATATATGTATGGGAAGGGGGGGGGCAGTTTTCTTCTTTTTTTCTTTCTCGGGCGTCAAAGGGGTACTTGGGGTTTGGTTTTACATGGCTGCACCGATAATTTTCTTTTTTTTCGATGCGATGCTGTCGATGGGGCTTACAAGTGTTTGGTGTGTGTGTGTATTATAATGCTCGATTCACCACCTCCAGCTTAGTGTGTTTCTTCGGGTAAACGCCGTTGTTTGATTACTTTTTTTCAAAGGTATACCTAGTCTTGTTGGATATGAAAATGTGATCGTACACTGAGAGAAAAACATAAAATTATATACAGAAACTGCAGCAAAAATTACCATTCCGCACAGTAAGTCGGATACAAGGTGGCGAAAAAGGAGGTAGTTATTATTTTTAAAAGTAAAAATTATTATTTTAACAGTANAATTTCCTTCTCGCGGGTCAAAGCGCGAAGCGCGCATCTTACAATATATTGACGCTCTCTCTCTCTCGTCGTTAATCTATAAGTCACGAGTTCCCTTCCTCTTTCTCATTCCCGCGCCACATAATATCGTGCGGAGGGAAAAAAAAAAGGCTCGTCCGAGATCAACTCGCCGCGCGTATATTACACGCTGATAACGACACGAGTGTGGCCCACCGTACTCGCAATAATACAAGCCTGATGAATGTTTTTCGGTGTGTTGTATACTTTGTAACCCTCACAACTAAAAAATACCACAATGTGCGTGAACAAATACTTCGTCGTGGATTCTCATTATATCACGTATATATATACACATTGGCTTAAATAATGTGATAACTTTCTTTCTAAAAATAATTTTGAAAAAAAAAAAGGTAAATATTTATATAAAAATTGTTTACGGTCTAATTCGTCACATTTAAATTTATTTGACTCGCGCGTTCATCGGCCCAATGTAATTAATTTTTTGATGAAAAATAAGAAATAGAGGTGTATGAGAGAAAAAGTGCTTTTGCGACGGCCAATTGGTGGTTATTTTAACGTGAACAAGTATAAAGTATTCATTGACATAAACACATTGTTAGAACGCGCGTGTGTTGTAAAATTTGGTCAAGAAAATATCTTGTACTTCTATACGACAGTCAATAGGTCGCCTGATCATCGGCAACGAAGATCAAACCGTCGGAAACTTTTACTATTTTACCACGCATAATAAAACGATGGATAACGCATAAACACGTCGTCGTTATCATTATTATCTTCCTGATGAGTTCTCGCTGTACTCTATAGCGTGGATAAACGTATGTTGTTTCTTTTTTTTTACTCTCTGGTGCAAATCAAATTTTTTTTTTTTTTTTTCCTTTAGACTTTTCGAGCAACCACGTGAATCGCCTGCCAAGGCGCGCTTTCGCTAAAATGCCGAACCTTGCCTACATCAGTCTGAGAAACAATAATCTGAACAACATCGAAAGGGATCTGTTTGGGCCCCTGGACTCGCTCGTCGAGTTGGACCTGTCCCACAACAACCTGGCCGATTTGCCTACCGACGTGTTCAAGGGCAAGAACCTGCAGATCCTCAAGATTTCTGGCAACAGCCTGACTTCCCTCAGCGTCATCAGGTAAGTCTGCGTTAAAAACTCGATGAAGCTCAGATCAAATGGATGTTCAACTAACAAATTCAAACAAACTCGAAAGATCGTCGAAACTCGTGACGTTGGACGTCTCGATGAACCGGCTGAAGGTGATCACCAAGGACGACCTCAACGGCGTGCCCTACCTCGAGCAGCTCTTCCTGAGCGCCAACAACCTGAGGAAGATCCACCCGCACGCCTTCTCGCACCTCGACCAGCTCATTCACCTCGACTTGAGCGACAACAGCCTCGTCAACCTGAGCGACCACCACTTCCGAGCCAACTCGCGGCTCCAAGTCCTCATGCTCAGCAATAACGCTGACTTGGAAACCCTACCAGTCTTCCGCACCAATGCCCAAGAGTTTGAGAGATTCAGGTACACTCGATGCTTATTTTCATTAAAAAATTACGAAAGAAAGAAAACACAATCACCAGCCAATGTCCATTGTAGCATCTACCGATTCGAGTGCGAGAACTGCGGCCTGACCTTCATCGAGTCAGGCACCTTCGACGCGATGCCAGCGATGACCCGGCTAAACCTCGGCCACAACAACCTCACGGAACTGCCGAGGGATCTGTTGCGGCCACTGTCAGCCCTTCGCGAACTCGACCTGTCGAGGAATCGGCTGGAAGAGCTGGACGTCGACGCGTTCAAGGGCGCCAACTCCCTCGCCGAGCTCAGCCTCGGCATGAACTCGTTCGTCTCCGGACTGAAGCTCGCGACTTTCCTCAAGACGCCCAACCTCCTCAGGCTGGACCTCAGCTCGTGCGGCATGCAGCGCGTCTGGAACGACGTCAAGGCCTCGCCGGAACCCCGCTCGGAGCTCAAGCTGGAGGACCTAAGGTAGGACGAGGAAAAAACACGGTCTCCCCTTCATTTCACACGAGTAATTTTGATAAACCAACCACAGATTCCTCTCGCTGAACAAGAACAACTTGCGCCGCGTGACCCTCGGGGAGATAAGCGCCATGCCCAACCTGTCGGGGCTGGACTTGTTTGGCAATCCCCTGCAATGCGACGAGGAGCTCAGCCAGGTCATGCAGAGGCTGAACGAGAGCAACGTCACGCCCATAGAGGCGGCCCGCGCCATGGGCAGCATGAAGCACGACTTTGACTACGACGGGTACAGCGGGGCCCGGCGCTCCGAGCCCGTGCAGCAATGGTCCGACCTTGCCAACTGCGACGCGTGGATCGGCGGCCCACCGCCCAGGCCCGTGCCGAGAAAGTCGCCGAAACCAACCCAGGCGTCCGGCATCGACGCCGGGGAGTCCATCTTCGACGAGCCCGGCCCCTTCATCAAGTTTGATCTCACCGACGACGCCGACAACAAGGCAAGGCCAAACAATAATTACATAAGTATACATACACACATCAATACATGATGCTTACCGTGGGTCGTTTGGCGTTTCAGTTGGACTTTGGCCCGATGAGCAAGGGTAGCCACAACAGCAAACACAGCGACGACAAGATCGAGTTCGCGTGGAACTCCGAGGACCAGGAGTACGAGGAGCTAGCGGGTGCGGCGGGCGTGCGTTACCGGGAGTGGTACACCGACGCCCTGTGGCCGGCGGTGACCGTCATCCTGATAACCCTGGCGGTGCTGCTCCTGGCCGCCCATCTGGCCGTTTGTCTGGCTAAGCGTCGCGGCAGTGGTCCAGTCATCCGTACCCCGATGATCCTCAGACCGAACCTCGTCGTCGACAGCAAGAACTGCGGCCTCGTCTACAAGCCCCTGCAGGAGGAGATCGCCACCCCGCACATGCCCAAACGGGGCAGCTTCTACTCGAGCAGCACCTTCCACTACGACAAGATCGTGCCCGAGAGCGTCTAATTCAAAGAAAAAACTAATCATTTTCTTTTTTTTTTTTCTCCCCCTTCCCATTACGTATACATTATAATATGCCCACTGCTATCGTCTATGCGGTGTGGTGTGAGATCATAATATTGGGTGACGAACAAATTATGTGCTTTTTTTTT